AAATCTGATCAAACAACTTTCTCTATCGCAACTCTTTAACTAGTAGTCTGTACTGCCTTCTACTGACATATTGTCCATCTTTAACACCCACTGCAAAACACTCCTGTTCATAGAGGATAAAATAACTCCTCTGCCGAAAAGAAAACACATACTCGTTAAAGACACTCTTGCACAGTTCACTTAAATCTGACACCTGTTCAGATGACGGAATTAAAAAGTATGACATAAAGTCACCCTCATCATCATCACTATCATCATCTAATCCATCCCAGACTATTTCACATGATGACAAATCCGGGTGATTTGCTTGCTGTATAAGCATCTTCAACCTCTCAGTAACTTCCACCTGCAACAGGAAAGCAATAAAATTGTTACACATACATCGGCAGAAGCTTGCTCTTACACTTTCATCAAACTTTTCCCAATTGAAAACCCCTATGCTGCCAGTGCTTTGAATAAAAGGACCCCAGAGTGGCGAAGCGTAGTGGGGTCCGAAACAAATCACCATAACCTATATAAAGAAATGCTTTAAATCTTGGTTAATGTGAAATTCTATCTAAGCTGTGTTGAAAAAGAGGTGTCTGCCATAGCTTTGGATTACTTTAAATAACCCATTGCCCATAATGTGCATTATTAAGAAGGTACACAGCAAAACTACGAACCGAAGCCTTTCGCTTCAAAAAATAATCATGAAAAGACAAAATAATGGTAAATTAGCTCGGGCTCATAACACATCCTCCTTGTTGCTACAGGAGGTTATGTTGCCCATGGCTGCGTACACCGCAGTCACACATGTTACACAAGTCGTTCGTGGAGAGATCGGCCCTATGTCGTTCAACAACTTACATTTAGGTCCTGGCAGATCCTGCTCATGGACATGGTGTTCGGAGAGAGTAGAGAGTATACCTCAGTCTTGAGAGAGAAAAAAGTACAGTTCGGAGTGGTCGTCAGTCTCGTAGCCGTCGGCCACGGAGAATATAGGTATGGAGAACCTTCTTCAGCCGCCGCACAGTGGTCGGAAACCGAGGAAATGCTGCTAGAAAGGAAATTTCTCATTATATAGTCGGAGGTTTTCCTATGAGCGGAATGTCTTCTTTAAAGTCTAAAGAATCGGATTGTCAACAACATATGGCTCAAATATCAGGGAGTTACGTGTAAATCTGACTTAAAATGACCCTCCGGTGAAGCGGGTCCCTGGGGCCCACTTCC